AATAAGGTATAATTCCCCAAACTCCTGCATGCAAAAACTAAGTAGGACCTTACTGTAAGCCAAAGGGAGTTCTGCCCTAATTCATGGATTGTGAAGAAAGAAGTACTGCTGTGTCTGATTAACTGTTGATGGACTGTGTTGTGGCATAAAAAGGCTACTGAATGCAACTCACAATGCTTACTAAAAATCTTTATTCTTTTAGTTAAAAAAAGACAATGTAAAATGCTAAATAAACCAGTATCAGTCAATGAAATTAAAAATGTAATTAAAAACCTACCAAAAAAGAAAAGCCCAGGTCCTGACAGATTCCCTGCTGAATTCTATAAGAAATTTACACAAGACTTAATGCTACTTCTCAAACTCTTTAATGAAATTGAAAGGGAAGCAATACCCCTAAACTCATTCCTAGAAGCAAGCACTACCCTGATACCAAAACTGGAAAAGGATCCAACCAAAAAAGAAAACTATAGACCACTCTCCCTAATCAACATCGATGTAAAAGTTCTTAATAAGATATTGGCAAACAGAATGCAGCAAATCATCAAGAAGATTATATACCATGACCAAGTAGGATTCAGCCCAGGAATGCAGAGATGGTTCAATATATGCAAATCAATAAATGTAATACACCATACTAACAGAACGAAGCACAAAAATCATATGATCGCCTCAATAACAGCAAAGCTTCTGACAAAGTCCAACACACATTCAAGATTTAAAAAAAATAAAACCTACAGAAAATTCAAAGAGATGGTCTTCATCGAAACCTGACAAAAGCCATCTATGACAAAGAAATAGTCAACATCATACTAAATGGACAAAAACTAAAAGCTTTCACTCTAAAATCAGAAACAAGACAAGGATGCCCACTATGGCAACTCCTATATTTCAGAATGTAGTTCTGGAAACATTAGCCAGAGTAATTAAACAGGAGAAAGAAATAAAAAGGAACAAGGATATGAAAGGAAGAACTTAAATTACTATTATTTGCAGATGATATGATACTCTACATAGAAGATCCCAAAAACTCCACCAAAAGACCTCTAGATTTAATAATAATATGTATACATAAATTATGGTGTGTTTACCGCTGTATGCACTATTGCCCATATTATTATTAAATAATATATATGTATACATAAATTCAGTACTGTAGAGAGAGACAGAAATTCAGCACTCAAAAATTAGTAGCATTTTTTAAAAAATCAGTAGCATTTCTATACAAAAACAACAAACTCAGCTGGCTGTGGTGGCACATGCCTGTAATCCCAGCACTCAGGAGGCTGAGGCAGGAGGATC